TCAGCAGTTTGAATCCACAGGATGGGGTGAGCTCCCATTTTTAGCCCCAACTTCTGCCAACCTAGCCATTTGAAAACATGTAAATGTGAGTAGATCAACAGGTATGGCTTCGGCGGAAAGATAATACTGCTCCATGCAGTCATGCTGGCGACATGACCTTGGAGGTGTCTATGGACGGGCGGCTCAACCCATTACGCAAAGTAAGCATTAGCAGTATAGTTGATTTTGCCCAGGGGCGCTCTTGAGGGAGAAAATAGACCTTGACATATGCGAGTTGTAGTTACTGGGATGTATAGTTCACCTACAACCAAAGAGCATTCTGAACTCCACCAATGATGGAATTGAAGCAGATATGGCACACAGAACTCCCACGACGAACAGAAAATATATATCAATGTTTGTTTGGGGGGGGGGGGCAAAATACTGTTTGCTTACCATTGAAAATTACCTAGGGCCACCTCTATGGACAACGCCGGCTCTTCAGCCTAGAAATGGAGATGAGCGCCACTCTCCAGGGTTGGACATGACAAAATTCAATGTCAAGGGGAAAGCTTTACCTTGTATATATATTCCCAAACTGATATGTCTTTTCATTATCACATTGCACTGACATCCATCATTTAGCTCAGTGAGGGTTTTTTTTAAGTAACAAAAATGGGTATGTTAGGTTAAAGTGCAAATGTGAGTAGATCAATAGGTACCACTTCGGTGGGAAGGTAACAGCTCTCCATGCAGTTATGCCAGCAACATGCCCTTGGAGGTGTCTATGGACAATACCGGCTCTTCAACTTAGAGGTGGAGATGAGCACCAACCCCCAGAGTCGGACACAAATGGACTTAATGTCAGGGGAAACCTTTACCTACCTTTACCCTAGGTAAAAGTGTTCCCAAGACATGGGTTTGCTATGGAAAATAATATCCAAAATACGATAATTTGTTCATATTTTCAAAGAAAGGTAAGATGATACATAAATAGAAAAGACGCACATTTTACAGAAAGTGAAATAGGTTTGTCTGCCTCTAAGAATGGTTCTACATTGCCATATTATGTGGTTTCAGAATGTATTTTGCAACTGTATTAAACTGAATTATATGGCAGTGCAGACTCATATCATCCAATTCAATGCAGCTGAACTCATTCTATAACTGCACAATTTGGCACTGTGGATCCAACCTAATTTCGATAGGATTTTTGAACCTGCCGTTGCAATGGAACATTCAGGAAGTACAAAAATAGTCGGATGATCAACACATGAGCCGAGGGAGGTCATGTCAGTTCATGTCAGAATTGGTAGCATGGAATTCCTGAAGCACCTTTGGTTGCAATTTGTAGAGACCTGTCTCAAGATCATGTTGGCTTTGGAAAGCATTTTGTTCTAACCACTGTTAAAACTATCAGTTCTTCGGAGTTAGCAATTTTGGAGCACTTCTTAATGGCAGAATTATCAAGGCATAGATTTTTATCAGCGCATATTTTGCCGGTGTTGGGTTGGGCATTCACTCAGCGCTCCATCCAACTCTTTGTGTCTCTGGGGAACTGCCAATGCCCTCGGAGAGAACCAGAGTGGCTAATGTTTTGACAGAATTAGTATTACTGAATTGTGTAATGGAGCATTAAACCTTTGGAAATCATTTGCTGTTCTCCCACGGAGTAATATGCTTGCTTTTGAAGTTACATTTCTGGGTTCCGTATAGTCTATAATTACTCTCTGTATAGGAAGCTTTAAAAATTGTGCTCTGTATAATAATATATTTAAATGTATCATAGAATCATAGAATCAAAGAGTTGGAAGAGACCTCATGGGCCATCCAGTCCAACCCCATTCTACCAAGAAGCAGGAATATTGCATTCAAATCACCCCTGACAGATGGCCATCCAGCCTCTGTTTAAAAGCTTCCAAAGAAGGAGCCTCCACCACACTCTGGGGCAGAGAGTTCCACTGCTGAACGGCTCTCACAGTCAGGAAGTTCTTCCTCATGTTCAGATGGAATCTCCTCTCTTGTAGTTTGAAGCCATTTTTCCATTGCGTCCTAGTCTCCAGGGAAGCAGAAAACAAGCTTGCTCCCTCCTCCCTGTGGCTTCCTCTCACATATTTATGCATGGCTATCATATCTCCTCTCAGCCTTCTCTTCTTCAGGCTAAACATGCCCAGCTCCTTAAGCCGCTCCTCATAGGGCTTGTTCTCCAGACCCTTGATCATTTTAGTCACCTCCTCTGGACACATTCCAGCATAATGGTTTGTTTTGCATCCTAAAATTAGCTTTTAGAGGTCTAGACAAGGGACGGGCCAAGTTTGTCCCTCCAAGTGTTTTGGACTCCAACTCCCAGAATTCCTAACAGCCTCAGACCCTTTCCTTTTCATCCTCAGCCGCTTAAGGCCCAAGTTGGCCCATTCCTCGTCTAGAATGCATGTCTTACTATGCTTGATTTTCTCATTCTGCTGTATAACAAACTCAAGAAAAACATGGAGACTCCCATCTAGGAAACCTGTCACTTTCATCCCAGTAATCAGAGGTCATTTGCAAAGCAACTTTTTATGTTTGCAAAGCAACTTGAAAAATACTTTGTAAACACAGTTAACAAACACCTCCCCAGTTGCCTAAATAGTTAAATAGTTGCCTAAAGAGTTACATAGTATGAGACACTATAGGTTTGGGTAACAACGCATCCCCTAAACAGCCTTACTAGTGGGAGCAGGTTAATTGTGGAACATGAGAAATATCACTCCCCTTCTCTTCTTCAGGCTAAACATGCCCAGCTCCTTAAGCCGCTCCTCATAGGGCTTGTTCTCCAGACCCGTGATCATTTTAGTCACCCTCCTCTGGACACATTCCAGCTTGTCAATATCTCTCTTGAATTGTGGTGCCCAGAATTGGACACAATATTCCAGGTGTGGTCTAACCAAAGCAGAATAGAGCATGGGGAGCAGGACTTCCCTAGATCTAGACACTATGCTCCTATTGATGCAGGCCAAAATCCCATTGGCTTTTTTTGCCGCCCCATCACATTGTTAGTAAATATATCACATCACATTTTTGTCTGTTTGTTTGCTTTGCTCTGTTAGAAATGTAATATAATTGACTGGTAGCCCTGACATGACAAATTAAAAAAACATTGTTGGTATGTGCATGTATGTGCATAGTACGATATTTGGCATTACTTCCCAACCATACATTCATTCTATTTGGTCTGGACATACTTTTGAGTGATTTTTTTAAAAAGTCTACAAGCAATTATTAGCACATATTGGCTAATAATATATTTTGGCAACCTCTTTCCTTTAAGGGATTTCCCTTATCCCTTTCAAACATTTCTTTCATTTTCTCATCCAGAGTTTTATCATTTTATGTTGTACATGTGGCCCGCTCATTGTGATTGATTTCCCATTGCATTATTTTGTTTTGTTTTATTTTGCTTTGTTTTTACTGTATTCCTAAGGATTTATTTTATTTTATTTTGTACTAGCCATCCCATGCCACGTGTTGCTGTGGCCCACATGGGGGTTTTGCGTGGGAGGTTTGGCCCAATTCTATCATTGATGGGGTTCAGAATGCTCTGTGATTGTAAGTGAACTATAAATCCCAGCAACTGCAACTTCCAAATGTCAAGATTCTATTTTCCCCAAACTTCACCAGTGTTCACATTTGGGCATATTGAGTATTCGTGTAGAGTTTGGCCCAGATCCATCATTGTTTGAGTCCATAGTGATCTCCGGATGTAGGTGAACTACAACTCTAAAACCAAAGAACCCTGCCCACCTAATCCTTCCAGAATTTTCTGTTGGTGAGAACTGTGTGCCAAGTTTGGTTTAATTCCATCGTTGGTGAGGATCAGAATGCTCTTTGATTGTAGGTGAACTATAAATCCCAGTAACTACAACTCCCAAATGTCAAGGTCAATTTTCCCCAAACTCCATCTGTGTTTATATTTGGGCGTATTGAGTGCTTGTGCCAAGTTTGGTCCAGATCTATCATTGTTTGAGTCCACAGTGCTCTCTGCATGTAGGTGAACTACAACTCACAAACTCAAGGTCAATGTCCACCAAACACCCAGTATTTTCTCTTGGTCATGGAAGTTCTGTGAGCCAAGTTTGGTTCAATTCCATCGTTGGTGGAGTTCAGAATGCTCTTTGATTGTAGGTGAACTATAAATCCCAGCAACTACAACTCCCAAATGACAAAATCCTAATTTTTTGAGTGATGGTCACTCCTCATTATGCAAAGAGCATTTTTATATATATAGATGTTGCTGTAATGTATTTCTGGACTCGGCCTCATGTAAGCCACCCTAAGTCCCCTTCAAGGAGATGGTGGCGGGATATAAATTATTATTATTATTATTATTATTATTATTATTATTGTTGTTGTTGTTGTTGTTGTATACATTTTGAGATTCAAGACTGCATTTCAAAATTGGAGCCCCTGGTTGAAGTTTTGGACTTCAACTCCCACAATTCCTAACAGCCTGCTGGCTGTTAGCAATTGTAGGAGTTGAAGTCCAAAACACATGGAGGGCCAAAGTTTGCCCGTGCCTGGTTTACAGTGAACTCTGAATACGATGCTTCATCTAAACATCCTTAAAAGGAAAATCAGCCTGTTTAGCAACCTTGGAAATGTTGATTTATTATCAGTAAATGTTTGATTTTTATGCCTGATTTATATGCCTATGTAAAACTTTCTCAGGTCAAAAGGGGTCATAAATTGTTAAGTTTAAGAAGCCCCAATCTAGTACTGTTCCAATTGATAAAGATCAATCAAACTCTTAACTTTATTTATATCCCACCCTATTTTCCAATAAGGATGGAACTCAGGGCAGCTCAACTACATACAAATCTTGGTAGTCCACGTGTGCCAGAATATTTTATGTCCCCTCCTACACAATGCTGGATTCCATGGCTATTTCATAATAGAATGGCTATGGGGGCGGGTTGAGGGGGAAGAGCAAAGGAAGTGGCATTCTCGATAGACACCTATCAATTTCCTTATTTCATTTGTTTCAGGCATCCATGGAGCTTCATTACAGTCAAAGGAAGGCCTTCTTCTTCTGTCGAAGACCACATAGAATACCAAGGTAACTACCAGGAAAAGGCAACTTGAATTTAGGGGTCCAGAAATGATTTGTGGACCCAGTGGAGTTGCACACTCCTTGTTGTAGCACAGCAAGCATCTGAGGATTTGTCAGAGGGGGTGATGGGTTTCAAAATGAGGAGTCTGTGTGCAATAAGGGAGAATTGCAGGTCTGAGATTGGAGAAAGTTGCAGGCAGATGAGACCGAGGCAAAGGAGGCAGATTTTTGGATTCTGATGCTGGTTTCCAGGCAACAGGGAAAAGTGAAAGTCCTTGGGCTAGGTTTCCCAGGAAACTAGATTAGGTCTGAGAATGGAGGGAGTAAAAAACAGACAAACTAGATATTCTCACAGATTCCATGGGAAGACCTTGAAGTCCAGGTGTATTCGGCATGATGTCATGGGTGTCTGGACAGGCTTAAATTAAGTAGTTTGGCTTCAAGCCTTTCAGAGGAGACAATGTTGTGAAAGGAAGATTTTCCTGACTCACCTTTCAAGTTCATTAGGTTCTTGTGGGTTTTTTCGGGCTATAGGGCCATGTTCTAGAGGCATTTCTCCTGACGTTTCGCCTGCATCTATGGCAAGCATCCTCAGAGGTAGTGAGAAAATCCAACAAATGCTCGTTCAGCAAAGGACAAGAGGGATCCTCTCACTCTGCAGGAGTCTACCGTATACCATGCAGCTGTGGACAAGAAGTCTACAGAGGGACCACCAAACGCAGCAGCATTGCCCAGACACGATCAAGGAACATGAAAGGCACTGCAGACTACTTCAACCAGAGAAGTCAGCCATAGCAGAGCACCTGATGAACCAACCTGGACACAGCATCTTATTTGAGAACACAGAAATGCTGGACAACTCCAACAACCACCATGTCAGACTACACAGAGAAGCCATTGAAATCCACAAGCATGTGGACAATTTCAACAGAAAGGAAGAGACCATGAAAATGAACAAAATCTGGCTACCAGTATTAAAAAACTCTAAAATTACAACAGCAAAACAGCAGAGAGGAAACAACCAGGCACATCTTAACATCTCTCAACAAAAGTTTTTCCCAGGCTCAGCCAGGCCTTCAAATGCTAATGAAGGTGGTCAGTTGAAACATTCACACCTAGCTCCAGCAGAGAAGAGCTCTTTGCCCCACCCCAGCCATTCCACAGATATATAAACCCATTGTCCTAATTCCAACAGACTCACTACCTCTGAGGATGCTTGCCATAGATGCAGGCGAAACATCAGGAGAAATGCCTCTAGAACATGGCCCTATAGCCCGAAAAAACCCACAAGAACCTAGTGATTCCAGCCATGAAAGCCTTCGACAATACTTTCAAGTTCATGTTTCAAGTTTCATGTTTTGGTTCATGTCTTTGTTCCTGTAAGGGTTTGCCTTGGATGAAGTTCCTGTTTTCTGGGTTATGGATTCCAGTTTGAATAACTGATGTAGATTTTGGTTCTCTTGACTTTATGTACTTATGTTATTTTTTGATTTCTGCTATTTTGTATTTTCTATTCTTTTGACTCTTTTGGTAATGCCCCCCTTTTTCTTTTGTACCTGCTTTCCATAATAAACATTTCTAGATAGTATTACTGGATTCTGGTGTGGTATGGGTGAAAAGGTGCTTCAGTGCTAGAGTGCAACACTCCTGCTCTATAGTTGAGAACCTTTTTAGACCTTGTGGAAGATCATAAAGACATATTCTCTATCTAGAATGCAAAAAGCAAGAAATCTGTGTTCGTTCTATTATCCTGCAATTCTGACAGTTTTGCAGACTTTCTCTTCCAAGCCATGGAAGAAGCACTCTCCAACAGGATACAGGGAATTTTGCCAAATCTGACACTTGTGCTGGGAATCTTGCAGGTGCTTACCAAATTTGCCCTCAATGCCTATAAAGGCACAAATGTTCAGTTGTTGATGGTCTCTCCATAACCATCAACACTTTGTCAGACTTTTAGAATCAGCTTGGGAAGGAGCTATAATAAGGATTCTCTATCCCAGTCTCCTGCTATGAATCCCAGAATAGCCTCCAAAGGGACTTAGCAAAAGAACCTTTACTTTTCGTGTAAATCTGACTTGTCTCTAACTATCTCTTCAGATATTTCAAAATAATTATCAAGCTGCTAGTTACTTTTTGTTCTTCCTTTTGGGAGCAGGACGTAGAGGTTCAGCAGTGGCCAAAGTATTCAAAGTGTTCCAAGCAGAAAACGGAGAGCATTTTAACGTATCTTCAACCAGTGAGTGGGTTCAAGGTGAGATTTCTTTGTTTGTGGCTAGTTTTAAAAATGAAAGCACATGCATGCAATAAAGTCATGTCAGAAGAGACTTGAGAAACTGCAAGTCGCTTCTGGTGTGAGAGAATTGGCTGTCTGCAAGGACGTTGCCCAGCGGACACCTGGATGTGTTACCATCCTTTGGGAAGCTTGTCTTATGTTCCTGCATAGGAAGCTGGAACTGACAGACAGGAGCTCACTCCATCTCACGGATTCAAACCTTCAACCTTCAGGTCAGCAGTTCAGCCGGCACAAGGGTTTAACCCATTGCGAGACCACAGCTCCCTACAATCTTTGATACTACACTGCAATCTTAGATACTGCACCGGGACTGTGGCGCAGCTGGCTTGGAGTCAGCTACATTAAAATCACTACTGACCAAAAGGTCATGAGTTCAAAGCCAGCCCAGGTTGGAATGAGCTTCTGACCAATTTGTGTAGCTTGCTGCCGACCTTTGCAGCCCGAAAGACAGTTGCATCTGTCAAGTAGGAAATTTAGGTACTGCTTATGCGGGGAGGCTAATTTACGATGCCATAAAAATCTCCAGCAAGCATGCAAAGAATGAGGAAGTACTTCATCAGTGTCACAAATGGACGGTGAAGCGATAGCTCCCCTGGTGGCCAGAATACCCTCATGAAAAAGCTGGAATGTTAAATAGCCTCTGTGTGTCTGTCTATATTATTTATTTATTTATTTATTTATTCTTCGAACTTCTATGCCGCCACTCCCCTGAGGCTCGGAGCGGCTTACAAGAACAGGCTACAATTAAGCACAATTTAAAACAATTTAAAAACAATCAGAGATCAAAGGCCTGTCGAAATAGATATGTCTGACATGCCCTGCGGAAAGCTGATAAATCCTGCAAGGCACGGACTTCAGGGCAGAGTATTCCAGAGTGATGGTGCCACTGCTGTGAAGGCTCTGCGTCTGGTTGCTGTTAGACGCAAGGTCTTGACACTGGGGATTTCCAATAGATCTTGGTCCTCAGAACGGAGGGATCTCTGGGGTTGGTAGGGGGTGAGGCGGTCCCTCAGGTACATCGGCCCCAGACCATGCAAGGCCTTAAAGGTGAGTACCATCACTTTGAAAGTGATCTGGTGCTCTATTGGTAACCAGTGCAGCTGCAGAAAGATTGGTGTTATGTGGCATCTCATTGGAGTTCCCGCAAGAAGCCGAGCAGCTGCGTTTTGTACCAGCTTGAGCTTCCGGATCACTGACAGAGGAAGGCCAATGTAGAGGGCGTTACAGTAGTCCAGTCTGCAGATGACCGTGGTCTGGATCACCGTAGCTAGGTCGTCCCTGGACAGGGAGGGGGCCAGCCGTCTAGCCTGCCGCAGATGAAAAAAGGCGGTTCTGCTCACGGCGGAGACCTGGCCCTCCATCGTCAGCAGAGGGTCCAAAAGGACTCCCAGCCTCTTTACCAATGGTGACGGCTGTAGCGCCTTGCCATCCATATGTTGCATGTCTATGGCATTGAATGTTTGCCATGTATATGTACATTGTAATCTGCCCTGAGTCCTCTGCGGGGTGAGAAGGGAGGACTATAAATAATGTAAATGAATAAATAAATATCCCAAATTATTCACTCACCTTGCTAAAGAGGAGGGATGACACTATTTGGGATATTGGAATGGGCTTACTGTCCACATCATACTTTAATTTGGCCCAACATATGGAAGCCCTGGCTCGAATATGTTGGTAAAACAGTCATATATTAAGGCTCAAATAAACAGTCATTATTTTCCCATTGATGGGTGACATACAGTGACAGTGCTGGAAAAATGCAGAATGGCAGGCTTCCCCAACCCAGCATCATCTGTGGTTTCATGGTAATTTCCATCAGCCCCAGCCAGCATGGGATTTATAGTCCTACTCATCTAAAGGATTACCAGTTTGGAGAAGGCTGTGTTATTTTGTAACTGCTACTCCATCTTATGCAACCTTTAGCTGCACCAGGCTTCCTCTCCACACCCCTCCATTCTTGTTGCTCTTTGTAACATCCTCAAATAGCATCTGACGGGTTTAGAGTAAGTGCCAAGGAGTGGGCAGTGGTTGAAGGCACTTAGCAGTGTCTCCCCTTGACTTCTATGAGCACATTTTTTGTCACGTTGGTTACGGGTTTTCTGTCCAGATGACCTTTCCTTGAATCAACTCCTCTCCCTTCTTCCCACTCCCAGATGTTGCATGGACTGAATGGTTTGAAAAGCCTGAAAAATCCAAATCCAAAGATGGGGAGAAACTTTCGGACTTCAGAGCCGCTCACCCAGAAGTCTGTGACCACCCTCTTGATATCCAGGTATGCCAGCCTTCCTCTACATCCCTTAATTGTCTCTTGGCCTAGAAAATGTGTGGTTTCATTGTGAAGGCAACCCTTGAGTAGAGCGGGATGCAAGTACTTCTCGCTGTCCATTGCTTCCTCAATTGTCGTGACGAATGCATTGCCGCTCTCAATTCTTCGCTGGGCTGGTCTTCTCCAGGGCAAACCACAACCTTTGAGAAGCTAGGGGCACAGAAGTATTTCTTGTTTCTTATTATTTAGTGTTAGATTGATATCCCACTTTCCCCCCAGTGAGCTCAAGAGATGGGGTATATTTTATTCCATTTCCCACTTTGAGAATTCACCCATGGGAGTTTCATGGTGCAATCTAGGTTAGAGTCTGCCTCTCCCAAGAGCTCATTCCCAGTCCTCTTGACCACTGCAGCATATTTGCCCCAGTAACTACATACTGGAGTGATCGATGCAATATGAAAACAACATTATTTCGATGGAACAAACCTTTTGAAAGTTTGCTTTCAATATGTAGAGGAGGAGAGGTTTCCCTTTCCTGATGTATAAGATTGTATCTGTGGCCACTCTGTGGACTCATAGGGCTGCGGTGAAGCATCCTGTGCTGCTGAACTGCTGACCTGAAGGTCTGCAATTCAGATATTTGGGACAGTGTGAGCTCTCACTATTAGCCCAGCTCCTGCCAACCTAGGAGTTCAAAATTACGCAAATGTGGGTAGCTTATTATTAGTTTGTATCAAAAGCATTGCATTAATTAGTATAAAACCGATAAATATAGAAGGAGCACAGGTGGCTAAATATCTTTTGATCAAAAAT